TTCTATATATAAAACAACTGTCAACTCTACTTCACAATTAATTCAATATCCAAGAGCAAGCCACTGAAGCTTCATGCATGAAAGGCAAATAGAGCACAGATTTCTTGTATTTCTAGCAAAGGTCAACTGGCCAATCTTGTGAAAGATGCTTCATGTTAGAAAAATGTTAATTTTGATGTGTGTATGTGTATGTGTGTATATATATATATATATGTATATGTATGTATATGTATATAAAAAATAATATAATGAATTACTTATTTTATTATGATAATGTGCTAAAAACTTTCCAGAGCTCTAAGAAAACCTTAACTAAGAACTTCACAGCCAGTTAGATAGCTTGCAAAATGCCATATTGCTGTGTTCTTTCATTTCTGGGTACAAATGGGAAAGGGTATATCAATCAGTTGCCGTTGCTTACATACTTAATTGTAGTTAACACATGCTAGCACTTCATTAACTATAATTTAAAAATTTGACACAAAGCATAGTTAGTTAATGAAACATGGTCTAAGGTTGTTTTCATGGGTAAACCATGGAATTGTATAATATTTTCTATTATTTGATATAAAAAGTTATCCTAGAAGCAGGATTTCTACCTACATCTGGCATCCAAAAGATATTTAAAAAGTGGCATAAAAGCCTTCTGCTGTTCATGCTGGTACAGAGTCACATTTTGGGAAGAGATAGGACAAAATATTCTCCTTAATACAAACCAATGTTTTTGTGAATGCTACAACTGATCTAAAGTAACCAGAAAAACCCATTTGGCTTCAAAAATAAATTATCTTGTTTCTTTTAATGCAGCCACTGTGGAGTCCTTTCCACAATAAGATATTGCACTGCATAAACAGCTTTTAGGATAGGTATCTCAAAAATTAGCATACATCTTGCTCAGATGGTCAGAAGCTAGCTAAGAGACACTATTTAAAATTGAAAAGGTACTACGTTTCAGTATGGAGATGATATTATTTTCATGCCACAAACAGGTTTTTGAAATACATGTGGTGTTAATCTCAAATAAGGACACAGAACATTGTAAGACTTTTTTCTTAATTCTTGTCATATGATAAATACGGTTTGTTTTCATTTAGTATTCACTGAGACATAAAATGTGGGTGCACTTCCCAGATGCATTTGCTTAATATAAGAATACAAAATCTATTGGAGCACTTGGGAAAAAGTCCAGATTCTAAGATTACCAGATCCAGAAAAATAGGAAAACTAACATTTTACCTCCCAATCAAAAAAATCCCGCATGATAGAAGAGGAGGACTAGGCATGACTTATAATGTATACACTATTCATACCTGCAGGTAGAAATGCTTCCTCAATTTATTGTGTTAGAAGTGCACCTACCTATATTTCTACAAATAAAAATACAGCTGGATTTCTAGATTTGTGTCAGTGTCAGTGGTCTTAATAAATAAGCTAAAACTAGAAGCCTTTTTTTTTTCACTTCTGCTCTGGAACAGGACCACAAAACAAGGTATGATTCCCCATCAAAAACTAAGACAGAACTTAGTCCCAATTCATGCTACAGTGACTGAAACCTAACAGGAATCTAAACTCTCAAAATAATACAGAGAAAGAAGGAAAGCAATGAAGAAGAGCAATTACTAAAACTTTCCTACCAAGACAGCCATCTAATACTGAGATTTACATGTCATTTTTTTCTTAGTTATCTGTATTTATTTTTCCCATTAGAAAATAACATCTAAAGAGCTGAACCAGTCCACTTGTATTCCAAATAAATAAATTATCTCCAAAAATAATTCCAAAAATCATTTAGAACTACATGACAACTACTCAAAAGCATGATTTATCAGTACTCTCAGCAAAGACATACCTTTATTTTTTTATGCAAAATTTGGTATTTTTTGGTGTAAACAAATTTGGAAAATGACAGATGAGCTGAGAAGACTGGAGCTATGATAAAAGTGCCACAAGCTGATAATTGATATAAAAAATGTATTTTTCAGGAATCAAATTTGAGGTCAATCTCTAAAGATTTGATTTCTCTCTTCCCTCCTTCTTCCACAGGCATACTTTTAAAATGAAAATGAAGCCTAATACATTGAAAAGGTAAATGGAACACATGCACTATATAATTATGAAGTGAATTAAATTGTTAAGTTTCCGTCTTTGACAAAATATTATACACTGCCATCTCCATACTGACTTGGATCTGGTCCTCAAAATGTCCTTGGCTTAAGAATGGCTTACAATAAAGTCTTGAGCCAAAGCAGGCATTTTCTTGGCCTTAGATAGGACTGTCTCTGCCCATCATAGAGAAAGTGTTACAATAAATAAGACTCAGTTATATGTTTATTAACAGTTTTACACAACGAAAATATTATTTCCTCAATCCTTTGCAAAAATAAAAGAAAAATTCAGTGTCTGATAGAAGAGAAATGCAGGTGCAATGTGAGGGAGTGGTTAAGAGAAGGAGAGGTTGCAGGTGAGAGGAAGTAATGAATTTGATTTCACTTTAAAATACTGAGATAACTGTACTGATTTACAAATACTAATAAGTGCTGTGCTTTAATCAGAGTCCAACAGAATATGAACTAGAATTCCAATAGAATAAAGATGTGTGATTCCTCGAGCTTAAATTTCTCCATACAGCTCCGCTCTAAGTAACGCCACAAGTGCTTTCTGCCAGTTTCCAAGCAAACACTGAGGCTGGAGCTTCCTCAGTGTCTTATTTTTTTGTGGGAAAGAAATGAGCATGAGCAGAAAAGTGTTGCCCCTATGTCTAACCTAGGAAGTTCCAGGCAATTAGCTTTTATCTAGCCTTCATTAAAAACAAAGACCAGAAAAAAGTAAGAGTTCATAGTAGTCAGAAAGTCTGATTACTTTAAAAACTTGCAGGAACACTGGTGGTTCCACACTCACATAAAAGGAGTAAGGCATAAGATCAGTTTAGAAATGCTAATATTCTGCATTCATTTCCTATTACAAAGACTGAAAACAGTCTGGAACCCTTTTCTGCAGGAAAAAATAAATGAAGGCAAGAAATTAAGACAAAATATAACACTTTTTGAAGTGAACTCAGCTTGGACTATTTCTACGCTATTACATCACTGCTGGGAAACTTACTGTACTGTGGTCACTTACTGGAAAACTAAATGCATAGAATATGGAAGATACAAAAATTTAATAAACTGTAGGTAAAAGCAGTGAACCATGCTAAAGTCAATTTCTGAAGCGTTTCAATTAAGTTAAACTAATTTATATACAGAAATCAAAAGTGATCTTGAGAATTTTCACTTTCTTGTCATAGTTACAGACAGGTTAAATGCTTCCAAGAAATATCATTTACATTTATCTGACTTACTCAATCTTTCATTTAATGTCATTAACATATGGTTAACCTCAAATATATTTAACATCAAATTTACAACTTAAAATAAATCCAATGTTCCAACTCCATTTATTCATTTCAAAGCCCAAACTATGGGCTAAGAAACAGTTCCAGCACACTGTTAACATCAATGAGAATCTTCTTTGATTGCAGACCATACGGATGCAAGCAGACCATCTATATAGCCCCAGGTCTCAGGCAGTGCAATTTAATTTATTTGGATCAGAGAACTAGAAGCTGAGATTCCTGACAGGACCTCAGTTCTGTTCCCTAAAGGATGGCGTAATAAAAGGGCACAGCAGCTAAACAGAGGGTTGTCCCTGTTATCAGTAGAGCAAGAAGACTGCACATATGGCTAAACATGGCAATTATTAATGACAGCTATGTAGCGAAAGGCAACACAGCAAAAGGAGGAGGCCTGTCATGATATGAATAGCACTAATGCCCCAGAGGCAGATCAGGCTTCAAACCTTTAGTTTATCCTTTCATGAACCTCATCTGATCTTGGTCTCTGTCTTTTCCCCAAGTTTTTACTGCCTTTTCTATAGGAAAAGAAAAAAAATTGTTATTTGGTGATAGCTGAAACAGTGACATGCTGAGGACTTTCGAACCCCGGATCAGTGTGTCATTTAACTCTCTACTCCGATGTTTTGCTGAAGGAAGGTGATGCACATCCAGAAGTAACTTTTAAAAATATCATTAACTGCTAATATTTTGGGGTATGAAAAAGACAATGAAATAAGCACACAGAGAACTGAAAAGTGAGAGATCTAATGGACACTCACAGCTAACTCATAACCAACTGGTTATCATCATATGGCCAGTATACAACTGTTTCTGGTATTAGATAATGGCTAATGTCTCAGTTACTACTGTCCCCTTTTCACTCCTTTCATGCCAATAAATTTTCTTCTGGAATTTTAAACAAAAGATGTTTTTAGTAGCTCTCACACAGTAGCAGGTTGGGGCCTTAAACACTTCAACGATTAAATGTCCTTAAAAACTGTAAAGTTATTTCTGTTATTAAATTTTCCGTATTAATAGGTAGATACCTATTGTAGGTAGGAACCTGCTTACTTCCAGAGACATAAAATGGAGGGAAGGGAGAAATGGCCTTCAATACTACATATATAAGAAATATCTTATGGAAATAAACATTTATGTTCTGTAGGAATGTAGTTTAAATTGGAGTTTGTGGAGTGCTGAGACAAGAAAGATCTATGAAGGTTTATTAGGTAATAGTGGGAGAGTATATTCAGTGGGGGAGAATTTTCCTGAACCCCTTAGCTTTAATCTAACTACAGCAGGTTTCTTTTCCTGCTTGTATGATTAATTATTTGGAAGTTAGTTATTCTTCAATACAACATACTGATGAAGTAACATAAAGCATGGCCCAAGATCTTACTCTTGAAACCAAGAATGTTGTACAGTCTATATATGAAAGTGTCTATTTTTCCATAAAATATTACCTCACATACTTATAATTCTATATTAACTTGGAATAAGTTAAAGGGCTTTCTTAGCTTCCATGGTAGATTTGTATACTATAAACCCCAATTCTGCTGAGATTTGGAAACATGGAACTGGAAGAAACCATCATAGTGCTAGTCCAGCACTAGGAATAGCTACCAACCTTGCAACCCATCTCAACTTTGGAAGGTCCCACAGTACGTCTCTTCCAGCCACCAGCAATCAGAAAATGTCTAGTAGACTTATGACCTGTAGTGGAAAAGCAAAAACCCAAAACTACAGTGAGCTGCAGAAAGACAGCAGGAAAGATTCAGGCTGTGCCCAACACTGCTGATCACGATACTATGATTAACACTAGTAAATAACTATATATGGTGCAAAGTCCCATTATAGGCAATCTCAGTAAGCACATCTTTATCATTCCAGGGCACAGACCCACATACTAAGAGGGGAAATGACTCAAGCAAAAGATATAAACATACTTCTAGCTGTATCTTTGTGCCAGATATACTCTGTTGAGACCCAGATAGCTGTTATATTAATTTGCAGTTTAGTACTGATGTTAACTTTCACAATTTTCCTGTGAATAAAGCAACTTTTACTTTTTTTTTTTTTTTAAGGCCCCAATTCCTAATGAAATCTTTATAGTATCTTCAAAATATTGTTTTAATCTTATGGATTTAGAGAAAAGTTAGAAATGTGACTCTCAAAGGCTTAGATATCAGCAAGATAAAACCTCACGTGAAATTTTTAGCTAATCTCATGATTTTGAAGGGCTTGAGTCAAGACCGTACCCATATAAGTTACGAGGCTAACAAAGGTAAAACTGGCCAAATCACAGGATTTTATACCAGCATTTACTATAAATGATCATCGAGTACAAGGTAACAAGATACTTGAGTCCTTCTGGTGAGTTTGCATGCAGGGCATGCAGTATTTGGTTCTGAATTTGGCATAGAACTCATATGCATAACTTTCTCCTGGTTCCATGGCCATAGCTCTGTGTGCATTACCTTGAAGTTTACTGCTAGAAGAGTGCCTAATTTCACTGAAGAGTGATCTCATTTCACTTACTCATTTACTAAAACGGAAACTGCTTTACAGCACAATTTAGTAATCATTAATCTTTCCCTGTAAGTATTAGGTACACAGCTAATAACTTCCTAGGCTGGATCTGACCAAGTGTTTGAGCAGGGGCTGTTTCCACAGTGGCCAGGAGCTCAAGGAAAGGGTATGAGAGTCCCACCCGGGCAAGGCTTCCCTTATTCTGGCAGTCTGCATTTCTGCTCACAGTAGCCCTCAAGTAGTCTACTTTCTTTAAGAACCAACCTTTATTTCTATCAATTAGCCTCAATATCCAGGAGCAGTGACTGCTATAGATTAATTACATGCTCTTTCAAAAAAGTAATTCCATTGCTTGTTTTAAAAATTCTGGCCAGCACTTTCTTCTTATTATTCTTTTTTTTTTTTAATAAGCAATGGTGAATACTTGTTTCTGAACCACCTTCTCAATGTCTTTATTCCTTTATTCGTTTATACTTTTACATATTCTTTTCAGTCATGTTTTCCTTGGGCAGAAAAGCTTTAATCAGTTGCACATCTCTCCCACAGAAACCATTCCATAGGATTTTCAGGTTTGTTGGCATTCCTTTTGCATTTGATAGTTTTACTATCTTTTGCAAAAGGAGCCACCTGCATTTAACACAAGGTAAGCATGATCTAGTTTCATAAAGTGAAATAACGTTATCTTGTAATAACATTCTTTGTTTTATTCTCCTTTCTCAGATCACCTATGAACATGCTGAACTGTATAGGTCCTGGCGTAGACCTCCGGAGCATACCTTTCTTTATACGTGCCTCTAGTTGTGTGTGGGCCTCTAGTGAGGGTGTTGTTATCCTTAGCATATGTTCATTAACTCCTTCAAAAGGCTCACTATTAGATTCGTGAGGTATTCCTTCCATCTACAATACCACCTTAACTGTTCTCGATTACATCCTATTTAATCACATCTACTATTTTTTGAACAATTCTACTGATTTGCCCTGTACAGACTTCACAATTTATTTTACCTTGGATTTCTTTGGAAACTTAAAAAAAAGTCTAGCACTTTCTACATTTTCTACTCCTCTGGTTCCCACACAAAAGGAAGTGACAGTTGTACTCCAAGACAGATTGGCAGTTTCACTGTTGAGCGCTTTTAGTGTGGTTGGCTGAAAATCACTTGGTTTTGACCAATTAATACCTGCATCATCTTTTTTTTTTTTCAGATCTATTCAACTGACACTTCAGTCTGAGACAGTTCCTCCAGTTCATCCCTGCAAATAAAGGGATTCTCCAGCTCATCCATGCAGCATGGGACTAACTCTCCATAACCTTCTCCACTCTGAAGTAAGTGACTATATTCATCCAGCTTATCTTCTCCTTTCTTGCCTCCCTGGAGCAGGAATAGAAAAGTAAGCATGGGACACAGATCAGGAGACCAGTCAGAGGTCTGCACACACAAAGAATTTCACAACTGAGCAAGAATATAGGCTCATATCTCAGGATCCCAAGTTCAGTGCTCAATCTCCAAGAGCATTCCTCCTGACTTGCATTAGACAGGCTAATTAGTACACATACTCATTTGAGATGAAATCTTCCTTTGGAGTTTTAATACATAGGACTTAAGTAGATGAATTCTCCTGCACTGAGGTGAAATTTTTCTCTCTCCAATAAAGCACAAATGACACCTCTGTCCATAGTTAGATCTTGAAGTCTTTTAGGAGTTAGTTCAGAAATATGTATAATCCTGGATTTTGTGGCTATTCCACATGTAAAAGGGCAGAATGTAAGAAATACTGACATGACACATTGTTGAATCTGTTAGGATCCATAATATACCTGATAAAACCTGCTTCAGATCACATCAAGCAACTAAACGAAAAATTAGGTTTTAAATTCTCTTTTTTAATTTGGAACCATATGGTCTTATTTACTACCAGGGTGTTTTAAAAGGAAATATTTTATGTAAGTGATGGAACTGAACATCTGGGGTTACACAGGAGATGAATCCATTTTTATGATACTAAAATCTTTTAAAAAATGAAATAGATGTTTTTCCATTTCTGGGTTGAACTGGCTCATCCTACACAGAAGATCAATGGTATATTTGAACACTTGGTAGGAAGTAAAGGTTTCCCACTAGCTGCCAGATGTGTAAGCTACTTGTACTGCATAATCCTTTTTGGTCTGTAAAAGCTGACTTTGCTTGTGGATGTGCCGATTATGTGGCAACCTAAACTAATGTTTAATATGCATTTTTATTTTGTTTTCTTTAGCATGTTTATAGCCATAATAGAGATCCCAAACAGAAAGCGCTAATCTAAATTCATATCCCTAAGCATCTGAATGGCTTCTTTCAATGCATTCAGTCCCATGAGGGTATTCCAAGTACTTCTTTTTTTTTAGTTTTCATTTCCTCCCACTTGTCTTCCACTTACACAGAAGACTATTTTTTTTTCTTCTGCAAATGTCAACATTTATTGCTTTGTTGGGCCACCCCTGAAGAAACAAAAATTGACCCAAGGTGTCAAGTCCGCTCTCTTCCTTTTCCTGTTCTCCCTCCCTCTCCCATAAATTAAAACAAGGTTAAATAACTACTTTGCTGTGAGTCATACTAGTACAGATAGACCTCTGTCAACATTTCCTTATACCTTCTCATATAACATTTAAATATATTCAGTAAAAGTCTATCAAAAATCTCTTTGTCACCATTTCATGAATTACCTTTAGTTTGATTATTAATTATCTTAACATTTCATCACCTCCTCACGTAATCTTTCTTTTATTTTCCTGCCTAGCCTCTCAAGCCACTCAGCTGGTGAATTTATCTGGCATTCAAATCTTCCAAGTTCGAGTACAGAAATCTATGTTCAGCCTTATTATAGTCATGTGAGAGGGACACCATAACCTCTAATTGCTCCATGAGATGATGCAACAGCAACCCAATGTTCTTTTCACTGGAGGATGTTAAACAACTAATTCCCCACCGACATGATACTAAGCACAAAGACAAGAAAGTGTTGACTTTGTAAACTGCAGTGATTTTATTTATATATGTGCTCTTTAGCTGCAAGAGGATAAAAAACATACATGAAAGAAAATAAAAAACAAATGAGTGTGATGACAACTTGTGAAGGTAGGAAATGTAAAGAACTAATAAATTTATCTGTGGAATTTATCTCCTTTTGCCTAAGACTAAGCCATGTGAAGGTCAAGCATCCGGCTGCTCATTTCTCTGTTCGCTTGCATTGATTAAATTGTTAAATAGTGTTTTTCTCAGCTCTTTCTATCTCTTCACTATAACGTTCCGTCAGATTCATCAGGGCCTCATCTCTCCATTTCTTCAGAACACAACACTTGCTAGACAACTCGTCTTTCAGTTTTGGGGATCGCTGGAGAAATCCTGAAACATTGAGGTCTTACACAGAAGGCATATTGGGTTTTTTTTGTTTGCTTGTTTGCTTTTTCTTAAAGGAGTATTTCAGCTTATCACATTTCTTTAGAAAGGCTAATGGGTGATAGAATGATTTATGCATTCTTTATGGTATCGTGTAGTTCAATAGCTGTGAGTTTGTTTACATAATAGCATTTGAGTAACACCTTAGGAAGTGACTGCCTGACTTAAAGGTACTGCTGGTAGCATAAAGGTCCCTTTCATAGCAGTGTCACTAGAATTTGAGTATTCTCATAAAATGGGAAGACTGTGGTGAACCTCAAGCCTGCAGCTGCTGGGGAAGGAGCTTAGTAACCTAATAAGCGTTCTGTTACCATCATTAGTTGACTGAGGTGATCACTTACACTTGAGAACTATAGTTCAGTGCAGGACACCAAGAGCTAATTGGAATAGTATAATTTGGATGAAAGCTGTTAGTGAGCTGTTCCCTTAAAGACAGCTGAGCTCTTTTCCCAACAGTGCACTGACTGTTCCACAGGGGCTTTGAAAACAAATAAGAAGAAGTCCTAAATCACACCAAGATCTCACCCAAGCTGTTAGACTTTTTGAAGTAGAAAGCATTTGGCAAAAAACATGTATACATTTCAAATACATTTACAAATACCTGACAAAGTGGAATGACAGCAGTCAAGTGCAAGAAAAATATCAAAATGAAGAGAGTCAGTGAAAGGAATCAGCAGCCCTGCTGGTTATGGGGAACAGAAAACACTATTGGTATCTGTAAGAACTATGATTTCTCAATATCTTAAAGGA